CAGCATGCTAACTTTGAAACCTTAGCTAAGTGACATAAAGGATTGATTGTGCATGTATAATCCTTTAGACACAAACCGTTGACCAAGTCTGGGACTAGGATTGGATCCAGCCGCACCTAGACTCCTGAGGGAGTTTAGAAAGCAAGGGGATCTTTTCTGAACCTCATGACTCAACCGGAGGGTCTCCCTGACAGTTTTGTCTGACCCTGTCCTCTATGCAGTACATAACCAAGTGTACCTTGCCATTGAATCTCAAACTATTGTTGCATTTACCATGGAACTTTGTTAACTCACTGTTTTACACCAATAAACTATATTAGTTTTGCCTCCCTCTCACTCCATCTGCGACACTCTTAAGTAGCATCACACAGGGAAGAAACAAAGCATTTACCAGCGTCTTTGGATAAGGGCTGGTGTGCCCTGTAACACTGGGTTGTAATGCGGTACAGCAACCTTTTAAATACTGATCACAAGCTGCCCTGCACAGACCTCCTCTGCTGGAGGTAGATGGCGTGTCCATCCCTCCCTCGCACACACCTGACCTCTCCTGGAGGAGACAAAAATATCACCACCAAAAAAATCCAAGTGGAGCATTTCCTTTATAAATCCAAGCAGCGTTAACCTGCTGGCAATTTAGTATTACCTGAACCCAGTGGGGTTTGTCCCTGGTAAAATGGCACAGTATGAGAGACAGAAAATAGTGATATGCAAAACCAGTTCATTTTATCCCAGCGTAAGAATTATCAAATAAAAGCATATCAACAGGCATAGTAGGAATGAGAAGAATGAGAGCCATGAGAGTACCAATGAAACAGGCATTTGTAAAAACAGAGGCGTCCCCATTATTTGGGCATGGGCTCTGTGAATTTCTATAAACGCCCAGTGCAATTAAAAGAAAAAAACCAAACCCTCTGGAAAAGGCAAACACTGTTACTCCTTGAATAGAAAAGGAAATGAGCCACAGATAAAGACTGGAAATAATAATTTCCAAACCTCACTATAAATCCCATGAGAATAGTGGCCAAATATCAGACAAATGTAGGCTGTTTCGTATCTTAACAAAACGGTATTTTAATTTACGATTTCCTTTTTGCAAGAAAATTGAAAGAGTTCAGAAGCAGTGACAGGAACACGGAGCCTTTTTGAAATCACGGCTGACCTAACTGTTCAGAGAAGAGAAATGCTTTGACTGCTCAAGTAAAGATCAGAAATCCTGTTGTAGTTTGGATGTCATAACAGAATTAAAAACAGAATTTAAAAAAATGGGTACTTCACCTAGTAGTAAGTGCGGCAACAAAGCTAAAGACAAACTAAGAGAAGCTGCAAAAGAAATGGGAACCACAAACTTCCCTGCTAGCAAATGATGCGCGCGAAGAGAAAGACTGTGCAGCAGATGGAGACAAGACTGGCAATAGGCGGGGTGTTACAGGAAACTTCATTGCACCATCATGGGTAAACCTTAGCAATGTAATAATGACAGCACCTGCCATTCCCATCTTTTTTGAAGACAGGACTGCTTGCATCTCCCAAATAATATTTAGTAGTTGATGAGGACTTTTTTTTTTTTTTTTTAATAATTTACTGTACATGGTACTTCTCTTGGGTCTTCTGGGCCCTGGTCCTAGCAATTTAAATATCAACTTTCCTACTTAGTTGCTTGATGAAGATAAACCCTTAAAAGCAGGGGATGTGCTTGTACTCTTCCAGGTAGGAATTTAGATTGATTTTTTTTTTCCTTCAGTAAAATGGATAAGGCATACAGTATACATCAGGACTATCTTAAAAAAAAAAAAACCAACGAAAACAAACCAACAAACCCAGAACAAACCCAAAATATTTGTTGCAGTATTTTATTACATAAAAAGTTGATTGTCCATTGGAAATTTTTTGCAAAGTGCAACCGCATCTTGCGTAGTATCACTGACAAACTGTTTTTTCTGAGAAGGACAGCTGGGTTAAAAATATAACAACTTAGAAAACTTAGTTCTGGCACTAGAACAGAAAAAACCCACTAAACAGAGAAAGGCAGCAGATGTTTAGCTATCATGAAAGTAGACGGTTTTCCACGTACCTCTGTGTAGTACTGAAAAAACAAGGAAATAAGAGATATAATCACCACCCTACTTGTTGAAATTAGTTTTAAAAGCTGTATCTGAATTGCCTGTATGTAGAGCCAAAAAATCTGTTACTGCAGTCCGATGAGACTCAAATGCACAACACCTATGAAGTGGAATCCAACATCTGCTGGGGATGTTACAGAACATTAATGACCTTAAGTAACTTTTTGAAGATATTTCTTTACATAGATATAAAGTAGTATGTGTTTGAGCCTCTTAAATCATTACAAAGTAACATCTGCTTATGCAACACTGCACCAGGACAAGTGCTAGAGTCTCAAGGACTTAGGAGTTTTAAAAGGGAACAGAAGTTGCTTTGGAGTAGAGTTATGAACTGCAATACCAGAGAAAGACTGGCTGCTGCAGACATTCCTTCCAGACTGCCACAATATACTTACTAGCATAATTAATTATCTGTTGAGTGTAAAGTGTGAAAAAGGGAAGACAGAAAAAGCTACTTGAAGGTAGTATTTTGTATTTTATATCAAAAAGCAACCATCAAGTCATTACTACCTATTAAAAACCTCAAAACACCCTAAACACTCTAAAATTTAAGTAAGTGATAATGGCACAAAACATGCCCACATTTGGCATAGACGACTTAATGACTCAACACAACCAAACAAAAAACCCAGTCAATCGGCTGGCTGAACTTCAACAAAGCTGCCCCCTCCTTTTAACTATACAGAGAAACAACCCAGCCTCCTCTAAGTGTAGATTTATGAATGACTAAAACAAGCATCTATTCTCAAGAGCTGGGCTACAGCGATAGTGCAGCAGTTGTTCTCCTCCTTGGCTAACGTGCCTTTGTATTATTTGTATAACTGGTTTGCATTGCTTAATTATTGCCCTCAGGAAGAACCCAGTTTGATCAAAAAAAAAAAAAACCCAAAAAAACAAAAACCCCAAAAAACACCAAACCATGTTTATGCTTCACAACATTAGGAAAACTACAGAAACCAAATTTCCACACGTTTCTGATTGCAATCCGAATTGTCATCTCTCTACCATAGATTTAAGTTGTAAAAAGAAAACTCATTAATATTTCATATTTATAGTTTCATCTGACCCCTGTTCACCTCTTCAGGTGAGAGGCAATATTCTTTATAAAAAAAGGGAGGCGCAAACCCAGAACACTTGACAAAATGATAAATTAGTTATGAACAAGAAATGGACTGCACATCAATCCGCAATGCAATTCAATATCCAAATATCTACAGAGACTCTTCTCAACTGATTAATAGCAGAATATAAAAGTAATACAGCTAAACCTGAAGAAATGCATGATTTTCATTTTTTCACTCAACCAACCAACCAACAAACCCAGGAAGGACCTGTTGTATTGAAGCGTGGGTAGAAAGGTTTCTTTAACCCTAAATTCATACAAGTATAATTAAAATTAAATAAAACCAATGACCTGGAAGCTTCATCAACATCATCTAGTCCTTATGTACAGAAACCAAAGACGAGTTAGTCTGCCTCCCGAATACCTAACTAAATACAGTTATTTAAAAGGTTTTACTACGCAGTGAAACAGTAAGTTTAGTGACATCTTTTCTTTTATTTTAGAACAAGCACTCATTAAATCACAGCTTCCCACTTTTGATACTGAAGTATTCCACATGATCAACCATTATGGTTCAATTAGGACCTTTTATCCAAAACTCTTGGATTTTAGCACCTTAAATAAAGAGTCAAAGTAACATCTTAGTAGTATCAAATGAAGACAGTTAATACTGTGCTCATCCTCTGGAAAATGATGTGGACCATACATACTAGGTGCATTTAGTCCTTAACACATAGTAAGGCAGAAGGGAAACAGTTCTAAGTGATGCATTTGACTGAATACAATCTGAATAATAATTAAAAAACCCCCTTTCCTAATTATACAAAGTCTTTCAAGAAGAAATCAAATTTGTTCCCATACATCAAGCTTCATAGTATTTAAATCAAATGTTCATTTACAATCAACCATGTCCGTCAGGAATCTGTACCTAAAAAAAATATAATCTGGTTATTAAACATCAGTTAGTGATACGCCTAACTCAAAGTTTAACTCTGTACTGTAACTAGTGCTTTTTCAAAGATTTAAACAAACCCTTAAGCCAGTAAAACAAGTTAATTTCAGAGTTAAAGCTGTTTCTTCTAGCTCACTGTCTAGACAATGGGGCATAGGTAATATTTGCTTCCACAGGCACAGTTCTTTGGCAGCAGCAGCAACCTGAATGGCATGAATCTGATTTGTTCTTTCACCCCGACACTGCTCGTGCGGGTACTGAGATCCCATTAACATCCCAGCATCACTTCTGATGGGTACAGAATCTCCTTTCTGCACTGATTATCTGCCTAGCTTCTACCATGCTTCTAACCACTTCTGTGGATTCCTGGGGACAAACAGAAGGGGTTTTCTTTATTTTAAAGAAACAGGCAGTCTAACCAGACATGTCCTAAACCCTGTAATTTCAGGCATCTTTGGCCACTGTGATACTATTCTTTGCAATTTTAGGAAATTTTGCCAACTGAGTCTAGCAAACTGCCTTCCAAGAGAATCTTTTAGCACTGTACTCTGCTAACCTAACAGCAGCTATAAATCAATGACCAACTTGCATACCCAAGGTGGACACGGCTACTACAGATGAACATTGGCGTATTCCAAGACTATTTCATCTTTTCCACTCAAATTAAGTTTGTGGTGTTAGACACAGATTTGTATGTTAATTTTCAACAACAACAAAAGCATAAAAAAATTACAAACTAAAGTAGTCAATTGCTATATTAAACATTACCTTTCCCGTAACTAAACAAATGGCTGACATTAATAAGTAAACTGGTGAATTTCAACATAAAAGTCTTAACCTCAGTAATCTCTGCTTCCTTCCTTCCCCCCAATAAAGCCAGGAATTGTATGGAGATTTAGTTTCCCTTCAAGGAACAGCAGAGCAGCATTCAGTCTGGTTAACACATCTGTCATAGCTCCTCTTTCTGTTTGGTTGCTCGGTTGTCCTCTTTGACACCATTAGATTTCTTGTCTCCATCTTTTTTCTTCTTTGCTTTTTCAGGTTTTGTTTTGTTTTTCACTTTCTCACTGTCTCCTGCTCCTTTGCCAGGATAAACCTGACCTTCCAGAGTAACATCTGCACACCTTTCTTGATTTATCAGAAAGTCTTTGATCTCCCAGGCATAACCACCATCACGTAGCATGAAGATGGCACGATTTGAGCCAACAATAAACCTAGAGGAAAGACGTAAGTTAGTTCCATGCCCTCCAAGTGCTGCAACATTTTCCTTAATTCAGAGCATCTCCACAACTGAGGCACACATTTAAGAGCAAGAAATTTGTCTTGTTGATGTTGTCTGGGGATGGGGACAAGAGAACATTTTTCTAGCACACATAATAATAAACTGTACTAAGTTTACAAATAACCAAGGAGGAGTAAGAATATGAAGAAAACTTAAGAATTAATTTGGCACTGTAAAATCCACTAACGGGCATTAAATTTGCTTTATACACTTCCTGCAACCCTTCTAAGCCTCAATTCAAGAGTGCAACATTCCTCTGTTTCACAATGATCCTCTCTGAGAGAAAAATCACATTTTTTAGCCAGGGGAACAAAAAGCCTTTTGTGGTGACAAGTCTTCCAAGTGTGATGTTTTCCATCAACACATAAAGGCAAACTACTGCAGCTAGAACTGATAAATAGCTGAAATGCAATGAGATAAAAAGGAACTAAGCTATACACACATCATGCGTAAGTGTTAAGAAGATTTGTGCACCACACCAGAATTTTTGTAGTGTGACTTAGAACAAATTGATATATAAACTGATACAGAAGCAAAGGAATAGTGACGGACAGTGGAGGTGGGGAAGGGCACAGGATGAACAATTGAAAAGATTTTCAAGAAGAAAGAAACAAGCGCTCGGTAAAAGCAAGAACTTTATCCTTGGGTACCACAGCTTACCTTTGCACATCATAGTTTGCATTGAAGAGACTGCCCTGCCACAGGCTAGTAATTTCTTCTGTCTCCTTTTCTGTGGGATTTCCCGACACCGTGACAAACATCATCAGAGTCTTCCCCTTTTTTGTCAGCTTCAGGATACTTTCAGGCTTGCCTGGATCAATTTTTGAGAAATCTATTGGTGCTGGAGGCCTCTTGTGTTCGGGAAGATCCCCTTCTTCAATGTCATCATCTTTCTGTTTCAAAAAGGAAAAGGAGGCTTTAAACTCAACCGTTCCACAAAGCTGTCCTTTTTTAAGACTTCCCATTCTCAAATCAAAAGAAATAGTGAGCACTGTCTCAAGATACTTCACCAAGAGTGCTCTTCCCATTTACATTCCTCCCCTCAAAATGATACATATGTAGATATCGACAGGTAGAATCTCATTTTACCACGTACTGAGAAATATTTCAGCCACAAGGCTAGTTCAATACGCCATCTAGGCACTTCATAAAATAACACTTTTTTTTTCCACAGAAGTTTATGAAGTATATGAGATAGACCGAGAAAGTTGCATTAAAAAGCCTCATATACACATAAATAAAAGAAATAATCCATGTGTATATTGCTTTCAGAGGTCAAAAGTCACTTCTGGGAATCACGGAATCACTTGAGAACTTAATTTTCTTTACTTTGTGTCTTTAAATAAAAAGGCAAGAATTCAGAATTTCAATGCTCATGCCACAGGAAAACTTTCCTGAAGGACTTCATGACTTTTCTAACGCACAGACGAAGAGCAGCTCACGTTCTGACAACAAAATCACCAAGAGTAAACTGCTGCTAGAAAACAAAAAAAACACTCTTGATGCCTCTGCTGAGGTTGACAGGCATTTAAATATTTGGAAAGGCAGAATTCAAACTGCTGCCCCTTAAAACTGCTCCTGACAGAGAGGAGGGAATATAATGGCAACTGACATTGAGCTAGAACTGGATTTCTTAAACAGTATTTGTATCTCAGTATTAAAAAAAAAAAAGAACCAACAGAGAAACACATATTTTAGGTTTTGTTTTGACTTCAAACGTTTAGCAAAAATACAGATCACTCCTATTACGAACATGAACTGTAGCAATATCTAAAGACACTCCCTTCGAGAGCTGAGCTTGATTTTTAGATCTAAGCAGACATTGACTTCCCATCTGCACATGCATATACACAAACTCAACAACATCCTCTTACAACATCCCACTACAGGGAGCGTCCCGTACCCTTTAAAGGTTAACGTTTCATATGAGTGACCTTCTTTTCACATCTCAATTACGTAGAATTTGCTGTCTTTCTGACAAGGGAGTTTAAAATTTAGTTACTGCAGAGTAGAAGTTGTAGAAGCGTTAAGACTTCATCCTCTCTTTCCTTACTAATTACATATCTGTTTCAATTCTGCAAGTCTGAAGCATGCTTTTAAGTAGTTCAAGCCTTTGAAAATTCCACATTAAGTGAATTGGGAGCAAAGGAGAGCCCCAGGAAAGTCCCGTTGCCCTCACTAAGTGGGAACAGTACTTTTTTAGAGGAAGCTAGAAAATGCTTATGTTGGTAAAGTACTGTGAAAATACACAATCTTACATGATTGAATGAAAAACATTCTTCAGAAGTAAAAGCAAATCAATTTAATTTTAGTTTGGCTAGTGCAAAACCAAGTTATTTCACAGGTTTGAAAGAGAAAGGCAGAAACAAATGTTTCCAAACACACCTTACACAACACAGGAATTGACTTAACACAATCTCATAACATATATTACCTGCTTCTCTCTCAACCATTCAACTAAATGTTCCTACAGCTGTATTGTTACAGTTTAAATAGAAATATTATAAGTAGTGGTCAAAAGCTCCCCTACACAACACTTCTTTTCTTGATCCCGTAAAAACTACCATGCAGTTTTGTATTTATAAAGCTATCTACAAAGTAAAAGACTGGAACAAAAGTGTAAGCTTTTGCTTTGACATGTCTAGCAGATTCATTCAATTAAACAGTAACAGGAGGCTTCAGAGGGAAAGTATTCCACAGGCACAGTAATAACTGTATCTTCCTTCTCTTTCTTCTCCCCCCAGCTCCCATTCTCATACGTTTCTCATCAATGCCCTGGATTTTTATTTTTAAAAATACTAGCAACATACGCCACCTAGTTTCTTAGCCTATTCAATAATCTCAGCTCAGAGTCAAGCCCAAGAAACCCTGAGCTCCTAACAATAATGAACTGTGTAAGGAATATGGACATTTCAGTAATAGAAAGACCTCCAGACCAGATTCTCAGTTCTGTTTCCAGCTCCTCCGGACTCAAGGCTGCTGGAGAGTCCCTTTCCATGAGGGAAATCCCTAGGTGGCTTCCTTCAAGCTCTTGTCATGTAGCTGAGCTTCTGAAGCAACCTCTCTCTCTTTCCCCCATTCCCCATGCTCATTTTCCACTAGATCACTCTCCCAGTTCACCAGGCAGTCACGCACATGGTTGCACCAGCATGGTGCAAGGGGCAGCACAAGAGCCCAGACAGAGAGGTGGCTGCTCATTCTGGGAAGGCTGCTGGAGCCACAGTCTCAGCCTTGCCAGGCTTGTGGCTGAACCCAAGCACGTTATAGCCACCATACTTCGATGCTTTTAGACTAATTGCCAGGGAAATAAGAAGTATTAGAAGTCATCTCACTCAGTTGAAAGTAATGACACTTGATTCTGCACAGATCTGTGCCCTGTGCCCCTCACTCCCTAGCATAATCCCTGCTCTTACCCAAATTCATAATGGCCCCTTTGTATCTCATCCCACCCCATCAAGCTGACTCATGCCCTTTCTTCTCCTCTATCCTCCAGCCACCACCCCCTCAACTCTTTCATGTTCATTATATGCCTCCTAACCACCATCAGGCAAAATGCCATACAGCTGACCATCCCGATGACCAAACAGCCATTAATTGTTGAGCCCCTGCTTCAGTAACTTTTTTTCTTCTCGGGCTCTGTCTGTGCGTTTCCTCAGCGGCAATGGCAACCCAAGCAGCCACCTCCCCAGCTGCACAGCCACATCTGCACACAACACGGCTACAAGCATTTGTGCAGCACACGGTGAACCGGATCAGAGACCTGCTCCGGCTAAAGAGGGAAAACCCTGAACAGCGTCCTGACCCTGCCTGCCCCGCGGCTGGAACACAATACGCAGCCAGAGAATCATGAGAGCGTTAACCCGAGTCTCCCTTTCACCCAGGCATCTAATTCACAAACTCAGAGACCCTCATCTTCAAGATTTTTCCTACAATGCCAAAGTTGGTTGAAGTTGGCCAATATTATCATTTAAGCCTTCATTTTTTTTAGCAGCTGGGACTATCTGGTCCTTGGCTGATACCACTAACAGAAGGGTAGACTTTGAGCTTTTTTATGTAATTTTATTTAAAATTTTAACTCAATTTTCTCAGAATTGCCCTTCCTAAAGAGAGAGGCACAGTAACAGCCCATGGTATGAACAAATCCATAACCTGCCAACCAAGTCCAAGGCAGACATCCTTACTTCTCACAGAAGCTACTTGATCTGTATTACACATACAAAACCTACTTCTCCACCTTGGCTTACAGCTGTACCTGGTGCTACAAAGGGCAGTACGTTCACTCATATTATTTCCTCCAGTTTTTGTGCAAAAAACTGTGTGGGGAACAGCCTCATGGTAAAGAATAAAAGACACTGATGAGTGCTCTGGCATTTATCGGAAGATGATGGAAGACAAAAACAGTGAGAAGAATCAAACAGCGGCATGACATGGAGAAAACAGTGATGGGGGGACTGTCAAGGAAAGTTAGGGGAGCAGGCTGATGGAGATGAAGGGGAACAAGAGAGAGCTGGAATTAGAAGAAGTCATTACCATGAGGAAGGAAACACCAAATAAAAAAAAACCCCAAAACCTATCTACTCAGTAAACGTGAAATGAGTATTTCTCCTGCTATCCATCTTTTGATCACAAAACCTATATCCTTTAATACCCTGAAACAAGAGACGTTTAAGTCAACCCAAGCTGCTGGCACACATGGGCAGCGTGTCTGGGGCTCAGGCGCTAGGAGGAGGGAAGGGGGCAGGAGGGCGGGCTAGGGGCACCGGGGGTAAGGGCAGCTCCCCCGGGAGCCCTT